ACACAGCCGACGTACTCATACACAGACTCCACTCCATTACCAGGACTTACTCTTACACAGTATGCTTGTTTCTGGGCTCTCAACATCCTTCGCTTGGAGAGCAGATTGTGAGGATGTCTCAGGCGGGGCGCTGGTTTCAGCACCCCTAAGGGGAGCCGCCAGGGGTGGTTGCACGGGCTCGTTCGCGGCCATTTTGTGGGGATGTCTCAGGCGGTTTGCCTGTTTCTGTGCCCAACATCCTTCGCTTTGGGAGCAGATTTGGAGGATGTCTCGAGCGAGGCGCTCATTTCAGCACCCCTAAGGGGAGCCGCCAGGGGTGGTTGCACGGGCTCGTTCGCGGCCATTTTGTGGGGATGTCTCGGGCGGTTTGCCTGTTTCTGTGCCCAACATCCTTCGCTTTCGGAGCAGATTTGGAGGATGTCTCGGGCGAGGCGCTCATTTCAGCACCCCTAAGGGGAGCTGCCAGGGGTGGTTGCACGGGCTCGTTCGCGGCCATTTTGTGGGGATGTATCAGGCGGGTTGCCTGTTTCTGTGCCCAACATCCTTCGCTTTCGGAGCAGATTTGGAGGATGTCTCGAGCGGGGCGCTCATTTCAGCACTCCTAAGGGGAGCCGCCAGGGGTGGTTGCACGGGCTCGTTCGCTGCCATTTTGTGGGGATGTCTCAGGCGGTTTGCCTGTTTCTGTGCCCAACATCCTTCGCTTTCGGAGCAGATTTGGAGGATGTCTCGAGCGAGGCGCTCATTTCAGCACCCCTAAGGGTAGCCGCCAGGGGTGGTTGCACGGGCTCGTTCGCGGCCATTTTGTGTGGATGTCTCAGGCGGTTTGCCTGTTTCTGTGCCCAACATCCTTCGCTTTCGGAGCAGATTTGGAGGATGTCTCGAGCGAGGCGCTCATTTCAGCACCCCTAAGGGGAGCCGCCAGGGGTGGTTGCACGGGCTCGTTCGCGGCCATTTTGTGGGGATGTCTCAGGCGGTTTGCCTGTTTCTGTGCCCAACATCTTTCGCTTTCGGAGCAGATTTGGAGGATGTCTCGAGCGAGGCGCTCATTTTCACCCCCCAGGTGGGCCAGATTTTGAGGATGTCTCGATCGGTGTGCTTGTTTTGGTGGCCAGGCTCGTGGGCGCAGATTCTTCTCAGGATGCCACAGGAGGCTCCAACAGGCTCCAGGAGGCCCCAGGAGACCACATGAGGTCCCAGGAGGCATCAGGAGGCCACAGAAAGACTCAAGAGGCCACAGGATGTCCCAAGAGACTCCAGGAGGCCCCAGGAAGCTCCAGAAGGCCTCAGGAAACCACAGGAGGCCCCAGGAGGCAACAGGAAGCGCCAGGAGGCCTCGGAAGGCAACAGGAGGCCCCGAGAGGCCCCAGGAGCAGGGACCCCTCGCCAGGAAGGCAACAGGAGCTGGCTACCAAGATCCCATGTGTTTTACGTTATGCTCCCTATCGGATTCGGGCCTCACATGGAGCACGGATCCGTTGTGATGTTCTAGATATGGTCTAATAGATGGTCTTCTCCTGTGTACACACAATCCTAAATGTTTACTATGTTGTCCTATGTATTGGCCTCTCCAGGGGCACGAGTACTTGGCGGTTTTACGCGTGTTCCTATAGATTGCCCTTCTCCTGTGGCTCTAATCCGCCAATGTTTTATGTACGTCTGTTGGCTATAATTAGCGGCCTCTCCTGGGGCACGAAACCCTCCTAGGAGGTCCCAGGAGGTCCCAAGAGGCTCCTGGAGACCCCAGGAAGCCCCAGTAGGTTTCAGGAGGCCCCAGGAGGCCCCAGGCTCATGCACAGAGACGCGCTCGTACTACTGAGGCTCATTCACACTCCAATTCATTCTCAGTTAGATTGATGTCCAGACCGTCACAACTGAAGCCCGTTAATATTCGAAAGCTCTTGCGCCTAGACATTCACGGCGGACAGGTCCATGCGAGTAGATGCACATATGGGGAGCTCCACGCAGTGAATATTTTTTTTGCAGGTTTTTTGCTTTTTTGTTTTTTCGTCGTCCCGACCCTCCAAGACAGCCCACGAAGTCCCCAAGACCGTCCCAAGATCGCCCAAGAGGCCCCCAAGAGCGCCCCAAGACGGCCCAAGAGGGCCTACAAACAACCCAATAGGTGCCTAAGACCGCCCAAGAGCTTGCAAACACGGCCCAAGAGGCGTCGAACACGGTCAAGGCGTGCCTCGACGCGCCCAAGACCGCTCCAAGACGCCCAAGATGGTTCCCGGATGGCCCAAGTTGCGTCCAAGACGTCCCAAGGCAGCCCCAAGAGCATTCCCAAGAGGGACCCAACCAGCCAAAATCATTGCTTGCCTTCAGGCTTTTCAAGGTTTTGGGCTGACCCAATTTTTCGTCGTCCCGACGCTCCCGGACGGCCCAAGAGGCCCCCAAGACCGTCCCAAGCTGGTCCAAGAGGCTCCCAAGAGAGCCCCAAGACGGCCCAAGAGGCCCCAACGACGGCCCAAAAGGCGCCCAAGACAGCCCAAGAGGCTCCAAACATTGCCCCAAGACGCGCCCATGACGGTCCAAGCGTGCCTCGAGACGCCTAAGACCACACCAAGACGCCCACGATCGATCCAAGACGCCCAAAATGGCTCCCAGACGGCCCAAGAGGCTTCCAAGACGTCCCAAGAGAGCCCCAAGAGCATTCCCAAGAGGGCTGCAAGAGGCCGAAATCATTGAATTCCGTTGTTTTTTGTGTAGGTTTTGGGTTTTCTTGTTTTTGTCGTCGTTCCGACCCTCCAAGACAGCCCCCGGGGTCCCCAAGATTGTCCAAAGATCGCCCAAGATTTTTGGCAGGGTTTTGGCCTTCTGATCTTTGCGGCTGTCCGACGCTCCTAGGCGGCGGCCCAGGAGGCCTCCGAGACCGCCCCTAGACAGCTCCAGAAGCGCCCAAGGCCGCCCCGAGGTGGTCCCGGAGAGCCGAAGGCTGGCCCAAGAAGCGCCCAGGGCAGCCCACGAGTGCCCCAAAACATGCCCGAGAGGTGTCCAAGAGACGAACCGCGTCCGGAAAACCCATGGCTTCCGCCTCAAGAGAGCCCCAGGAGGCCCCAGGTAGCTCCCAAGAGGCTTCAAACATGGCTCAAGACGCCTCCAGGAGCACCCCCAAGAGGGTCCCAACAGGCCAAAATCGTTAATTTTTCGTAGGCGTTGGAGGATCTTGGCCTTCTTGTCTTTTCGGCTTTCCGGCGCTCCAATAAGGCCCAGCGCGCCTCCAGGTCCGCTCCCAAACAGCCCTAGGCGGGCCCAGAGAACCCCAGGGAGCCCGCAAGACCGGCCCTACGCAACCCAAGAGTTCCTCGGCAGGATAGTCCGGGAGGGGGGAAGAGCGGGGGAGCCTCTGGCGCCCCATGCTGCGGGAACGCTCCTCCGGAACATGGCGCTTCCGGAACACGTGGCTTGCAGTGCACGCCGCCGTCTTCGTGGTAAGAATCGTCGCGGGCATCGCATCTGAGCGGTGACCTCAACTAGAACCTGAGCGCGCGCGAAGCGCGCGATGGTTCTAGCATATATTTATATATACACACACATCTGCACACGTGCATCGGCGTGACCAAGGTGGATGTGCGAGCTCGATGGGGCGCAGACGTGCCCAAAAGGTATCAACCACCATTCCCCCCATTATAGCCCTTGTCGGGCTTCCCCCCACGGCGGGATAATCATTCCCTTGGGGTTCTGGTGCGTCATAATATCGAATGGCCTTCGGCCCGTGCCTCCAGAGTGCCTGGGTTGTGGGTCAGAGTTCTCAGGGGTGCTTATTCGGGTCTCTTCGGGGCGCTCTCGGGGGCTTCTTGGGAGCAAGTCGGGAGCCTCTTGGGGGCCTGTTGGGGGCCTGTTGGGGCCATTTGGCGTCCTCTTGGGACCTCTTGGGAGCCTGGTGGGGTCATTGGGCCCAAATCTGGGACAGGCTGGAATGTTTACTGGCCGTAAAGCGGCCCAAGAGGCCTCCAAGACGCCCAAAGAGGTCTCCAAGAGGCCCCCCGAGAGGGCCCCCAAAGGCCCAAATCATTGATTGTCCTTCGGTGTTTTTGAAGGATTTTGGCATTCTCGCGTTCTCGGCTTCCCGAGGCTCCACGACGGCCCCCAAGATCACCCCAAGACGGCCCCAGAGGCCCCCAAGAGGGCTTCCAGCTGGCCCATGAGGGCCCCAAGACGGCCCGAAAGGCGCCAAAGATGACCCAAGAAGGCCCAAACCCGGTCCAAAAAAGGGGCCCAGATGGGGAACCCGAGCGGACATTTTGAGCCCTCGGCCCCGAGGGGCTTCCCATTGGTTCTCAACATGTGAAACAATCATCCCAAGGTCATTTTGACTTTCACCCTTCGGTTATTTCGGGCCTTTGCATTTTAGAGATCACAGCTCACGGCGACGAATATACAGAGAAGAGAGAAAGAGAGAGAGAGAGAGAGGGAGAAAGAGAGAGAGAGAGAGAGAAATACATAAGAGAGAGAGAGAGAGAGAGAGAGAAAGCGGGAGAGAGAGAGAGAGAGAGAGAGAGAGAAAGAGAAAGAGAAAGAGAAAGAGAGAGAGAGAGAGAGAGAGAAAGAGAGAGAGAGAGAGAGCGAGCGAGAGAGAGAGAGAGAGATTACAAGAGATATGAAGGAAGAGGGATCTATAACGAGGGTGTGGAGGAGAGAGATGTGTATACACGGCAACAGTGGGTGAGGCGCAGGGTGGGGGAGAGGAGGTAGGAGGGGAAGGACGATGCAAAGAGGAATGAGGCCAGGGGGCGAGGAAGAGGCGGTGGAACGACGAGAGGGCGGAGAAAGGGGATCGGAGTGGAGAAGGGTGAGAATGAGAGAGGAGGGGTCGGTGCGGGGCATGTGACATGCGAGAACTAGAGGCAGAAGTGGGGAAGGGAGGGGAATGCGGACGAATAGAGGACGAGATGGAGGAAACATTATTTAGGTGGAAATATATGATGTGGACGAAGGTGAGTGTGAGGGTGGGTTGAGGAGGGGGGAGCGCGTCTTTGCTTGGGACGCGCCTACTCCAGCAGGAGTACCTCTCCGATCCCTACACGGGCGAGGGCGCCGTGGACACCATCGTGAATTTGACGGGGTTCAGCCTCGTGGGTGGCCCCGCATCCCAGGACGCCGCGGAGTAGGACGAGGATAGGAGGATACAGAGCAGGAAAGGGATGATGGGGGCGAGGAGGGTGGGAACGATAGTGATGATGACATGCATGCAGGCAGACAGAAATACAGACAGACCGAGTCATCTGGTGGGTCACAACTGGCATTTATTGACACGCCAGAGTGCGATGATCGCGTCTCGGCATTTGGGGGCTCTGCACTTGGCATTGTTCGAACTGTGCGAAGTAAACCCGGACACACAATCAGGCAGGGCAAGTCGTAGTCCTTGCTGCCTCTGTGATCACGGATGCCATCGGCTCGTGATTTTCATGGACCTGCTTCTTGTGTTTGGCCGAGGTGTTGTTGTCATTGGATTGAAGGTTGTTGGTGGTGATTGGAGGTCGCAGAGATGGAGGATGAGGAGGAGGAGGAGGAGCATGAGGACCTTAAGGCTTAAGGGGGAGGTTGACGCGGACTAAGAAGGGGCCGAACGGTCATTAACTGTCCATGGGTGTGTGTGTGGCTGCAGTGGAATTATGTGGTGCGGATTGTTGTTGCGTTGCTGTTGTTTTTGTTTTTGTTTTTGTTGTCGTTGTTGTTGTTGTTGTTGTTGTTGTTGTTGTTGTTGGTGGTGGTGGTGGTGGTGGTGGTGGTGGTGGTGGTGTCGTTGTTGAACTTTCATTTCTGCAGAATGATTATTGTTGATCCCCCCTCACCGGTGCATATGGTTTTTTCTTAGTGAAAGTGTGCCCCTCGACGCTCGCACCCTGTTTTTTGACGGAAAGTCTTGGTGCTCAAAATGTGCCCCTGGCCCCCCGACTACTACAACAACGGCTCCCGCCTGAGACTTCCTCCAAATTTTCTCAGGACCCCCCCCTCCCGTCTGAGACTTCCTTTAAGTTTACTCAGGAACGGCGTTCCCGCTTGAGACTTCCTCACAATTTAGTCCGGGTCAAACTGCATTGTTGTTCCCCCGGCCTACAGCAACAACAACAACGGCTCCCGCCATTTCCTCCCAATTTACTCAGGATCGGCGCTCCTGCCTGTGACTTCCTCGCAATTTATTCAGGACCCCCCCTCCCGTCTGAGGCTTCCTCACAATTTACTCAAGATCGGCGCTACCGCTTAAGATGTCCTTGCGCTTCAGTCTAGACTCCCGCTCCCGCCAGACATCCCCTTCTCAGGAATTGCGCTCTCGCCTGTGACACGAAGCCTTTGTTAACCTGTGTTGGAATGGCTGGCGCAAGCCATGGCGCAAGCTGAATCGCAACTCACGGCACAAATCATCGTCGTCCTTCTTGCCCCTCTAATCCCTCCCTTCCTCCGATTCCTTCGTCCTCTCTTTTGTCTTTTCCCTTTCGTTTCCCTGTTTTAGGGCTTTTCCAATTACACGTGGCCAGGGAGGAACATACCCCCCCAAAGAGGTTACGATCGAAGGCGAAGAGGGCAGGTATCCAGGGTTTGGGATATGCATAGTGAATGACTCGCGGGCCGGTAGGAGCGAACTGTATTGGAATAGTTGTTGAACATTATTACTTCTAAAGAATAATTATTGTTGGGGCCCCTGGTGCATGGCCCCCTCGCCGCGCCTAGGCCGCAGCCATGTTTTCATTATTTTCGTGAGGAAGTCTCTGGCAAAACGGGTTGGTCCGGATCCGGTTGTTTTGTTACGGGCGGTTTTCCCTTGCAAAAAATGAGGCAAAGTGGACATTTCTTGTTCTAACATAACCGAACTTCAAGAATCCCTTGCAAAAAATAAGGTAAAGTGGACATTCGCGCGCGCAAGACGAAATCCTTCCAAAACCTTAGTGTTCGTAGCGATTTTAACATAAAAACATAAAAAACCAATGGTTTTTCAACAAAAAATTGTCAAAATTCATCCCGCGCGCTCTTGCGGATTCGTAGGAAACCCAACACTTTTTAAACATTTCTGTCAAACGGGCTTTTGCGAGCAACTTTTTCGAACTTCTGCAACAACGGTTGCGCACCTGCCAGGGCCATCATCCCTGTCAAATAATACCATGCGGGACACATTCGTTTTTTCTTCGCGCGCGCACGCCGAAATCTTCAAAAACCATTGGGTTTCTTAGGAATTTTAGCACCGCGCAACATAAAATCATACGAATCGCACCGCGCACCAGGGACAGTACCGGCGTCGTACTGGTTTACCGTGGTTTCCTATTCTAGCGTCAGGAACACGTTACCACCAAAAACCAGTACAGGTGTCCAGTGTTGGAACAGGGGGAAAAGTCGTATACTAAGCTAGCGTCCAGAAAATGTTACCACAACAAGTCACTGTATCCATGCGCCAGTGTAGTAGCCACGGTCGTCCGCAGGCCACGAAGTGAAGTGTCCGAACGTCATAGGGCGGGAAGCTGGGTGTGGGTGGTGGCGAAGAGTCGTTTGGAAATTTGGTAGAGCTTGAACCGGCCCCCCCACAAAGTGGGGGTATTGCCCGCCTCCTATGAAAACCCTGGCACTGGTGAGAACGGAGTGTCCCCACGTGCTAGTAATTGTTGTTGTTGTTGTTGTTGTTGTTGTTGTTGTTGTTGTTGTGATTGCTGCTGTTGCTGCTGCTGCTGTTGTTGTTGTTGTTGTTGAACTCTCATTCTTGGAGTAATTATTGCTGATCCCCCCCCCACCGGTGAACATTGTTTTTTCAATTGAAGTGCCCCCCCCGGGGCTCGCACCTTGTTTGTTGTCAAGGAAAGTCTTCCTGCTCAAACTGGCCCCCTGGCCCCCGGGTTACAACAACAACGGCTCCCGCTTGAGACTTTCTTACAATTTAGCCAGGACCCCCGCTCCCGCCCGAGACCTCCTCGCATTTTATTCAAGAATCGTGCTCTCGCTTGGGACTTCCTTACGATGTATTCAGGAATCGCTCCTTCTGCGCTCTGGAGTCGCGCTCTCGCTGGAGACTTGCTTGCAATTTACAGAAGAATAGCGCCCTTGCGTTTGAATTTCTTGCAATTTACTCCAACGCCGCGCTCCCGACACCCAGGCACCCAGGAGTCGCGCTCACGCTTAGGACTCCTTCGCAGATTACCTAGGAATCTGGATCTCGCTGCCTTTCGTGGCCCCGTTGCAGCCCTTCGTGGCCCCCTCGCTGTGTTTCGTGGCCCCGTTGCAGCCCTTCGTGGCCCCCTCGCTGTGTTTCGTGGCCCCGTTGCAGCCCTTCGTGGCCTCCTCGTTGCCCTTCGTGGCCCCGTTGCAGCCCTTCGTGGCCCCCTCGCTTTGTTTCGTGGCCCCGTTGCAGCCCTTCGTGGCCCCTTCGCTGCCCCTCGTGGCCCCGTTGCAGCCCTTCGTGGCCCCGTTGCAGTCCTTCGTGGCCCCCTCGCGGCCCTTCGTGGACCCGTTGCAGCCCTTCGTGGCCCCCTCGCTTTGTTTCGTGGCCCCATATCTGTATGCCCTTCGTGGCCCCCGCTCGTTCGCGCCCGTGGTGGCCCCATATGCGTGCCCTTCGTGGCCCCGCTGTCGCCCTTCGTGGCCCCCTCGCTGCCCTTCGTATCCCCGTTGCTGCCCTCAGTGGCCCCGTTCCTACCCTCCGCGGCCCAAAATACGTGTGTTCTTCGTGGCCCCCGCTTGTTCGTGCCCGTTGTGGCCCCATGTGCATGCTCTTCGTGACCCCGCTGTCGCCGTTTGTGGCCCCCTCAGTGTCCTACGTGGCCCAGGTGCTACCCTCAGTGGCCCCATCGTTGCCTTCTGTGGCCCCGCATTATCTGCACTTCGTGGCCCACGCTCGTTCGCGCTCTTCGTGGCCCCATACGCATTCCCTTCGTGTCCCCGCTGTCGCCCTTCGTGGCCTACTTCGTGTCCTTCGTGGCTCTGCTGTCGTTCTCTGTCGCTCTCGCTTTCGCTCGTCGTCGTCGCCGTCGCCGTCGTTGCCGTCGTCGTCGTCGTCGTCGTCGTCGACGTCGTCGTCGTCGTCACTCATCGGCGTTCCCAATATTCCATAGGAGTATCTGGGAGTCGTTTGGAATACCAGGGACTTTCGAGGAATCCATCGGACCCCCCTTGAATCCATTGGAATCCATAGGAATCCGCGGGATTCCGTGCGTCCCTATGAATTCTCAGGAATCCGTAGGACTCCCTAGGATTCCCCCGGATTCTTCAGGAATCCATGAAAAGTTTAAGGAAGACATATGAATCCGTAGGAATCCACAATAATCCTTTGGGATCCGCAGCACTGTTTTGAAAACCATAGGCATGTCTAGGAATCCTCAGGAATCCTTGAGAATCTCTATCAATCCCCATGAATATTCAAGGAATCCTTAGGGTCTCTAGGGATTCATAGGGATCCCCAGGAATCCATATGCATCCGTAGGAACCCAGAGAAATCCGCAGGAATCCGCAGGAATCCTTAGGATTCTTGAGAACCTGTAGGGATCTCCAGGGATCTCCAGGACATATTAGGACCCCCCCATGATTTGTAGGAGTTCTCCAGAATCCATCGGAATCCTTAGGAATCCAAGAATCCTTTCGAACCTATGGGAACACACAGGAATCAACCCTATGATACCCTAGGAACCCATGGGAATCCGAAGGAATTTGTAGGAAATGTTGTAACCCTTCAGGAATGCCTAAGAATCCTGAGGACCCCCAAGGGATCCTTCAGCAATCCATCGGAATCTTCAGGAATCCGTCAGGAATTCATCGGAATTCTCAGGGATCCGCAGGAATGCTTCAGGCATTCATGGGAATCCTTAGGAATCCTCAGGGATCTCTAGGAACCCATCGGAACCCTTCAGGATCCCAAGGGATCCTCGAGGGGCCCTTGGGATTTCAATTGGTTCTGGATGATTATTGCGGACCTGCTGATTCTTGCCGAGTCCTGAGGGTTCGTATGGGTGTCAGGGAATCGTAAGGGTTCCTGAGGATTCTCATGGATTCCTGCGGGTTCTTCGGAACTGCAGAGGGTTCCTGTGGATTCTTGAGGAACTCCTACGACGAACCTCCTTGGATTCACAGTGACTCCTGAGGATGCCTTCTGATTCCCCAGGATCCCTAGAGAGCCTAG